ATCATCCCACCCCCCTCCTCAAGCTACTACGCCGACGAAATCCTCAACCATTATCAGGATTATCAGGATCACAAACCATCAGCCAGAACAAGATCCAGCCCCATCTTCTCTGGGAGACCCCGGCCAGAAGAATACGACAGCTTGGTTACCATGGACAACAATGAAGCGGCTTTGTTGTGTCGCCGTGAACATCAGAAACGTTTGGACGAATGCTACAGTGAGAAGAGCACAAAGGCGAGGCTGAAAAGGGGGCTCGAAAGGGGCAGGAGCAGTCCAGGAAGTGATGGGGGCAGGACAGAGTGGAATGATTTCTGTCGGTTTTGAGCAAGCGGGAATTGTGTTGTGAGAATAGTGGCATCATTTATTTCACTTGTGAATAGCATAATTATGTGAGGGCTGTCGTAAAATAGTTGTTTAACTTGATATGCATTGGTACATGTGCTGCGTTGATAATGTCCAGAACAAAGTACTCGAGATATAGGCCTCTATATATCCTGAATGCAGGTCCCTCTAAAGATGGCCGTCTATGGCATGCTCATCATCTATGTCATGACGACATCCTCTGACTCTTTCACTTCAAGCTTTTCGACACCCTCTTGAGTTTTGACTTCCTCTGACTTTGCGTCGCCCTCAGAGCTGGTCACCTCCTCGGGTTTCTCCTCAGGCTTCTCTGTACCTTCTGGCTTCTCACCACCCTCACCCTCCTTCACCATCTCCGCCACCTTCCCCCTATTCTTCCCCTTCCCCTTCTTCTGCTCCATCGCAGCCTTGGCATGCTCCAGCTTCTTCTTCTGCTTCTCCGCCTTCTTCCTCTCCTGCTCCTTCTTTTTCTCAGCCTTCTTTGCCGCCTCCTCCCCACCCTCCTCCCCTTCTTCCCCATCCTCCCCCTCCTTCTCCTTCATCTCCTCCTCCAACAACTTCTTAATCGCAGGAATAAACTCCTCCGCCTGCTTAAACTCCCCCAGCTTCACCCTCATATGATCAAACGCGTACAGCACCGCCGTGTCCTTCCCCAACTCCACCTTCTCCCCCTCCCCCTCAGGAGCAGGCAGCTTCGGGTACCGCTGGCTAAAATGCGTGAGCAAGATCCTTCTCGCGCCCATATCCCTCCCCACCGCGAGCGCCTCGCTGATGGTGGAGTGTTTCTTCGCCACGGCATCCCCTTTGAGCCCGTCTTCAAAGGTGCACTCGTGCAGCAGCAAATGCGCGCCCTTTCCTAGCTCCGCGAATTTCTTAGACGGGCGGCAGTCTCCAGAGTAGGCGATCTTCAGGCCAGAGGGGGCAAAGGTCATGACGATGGCGGTGGCATTTTGGCAGTGGTCTACCCAACAGATCTCCACCTTTGGGAAACGTTCCTGCATGGTATTGCACTCCGACTGGTTCAAGGTGGGCGGAAATTTCCAGCCCAAATCGGCGTTGGGCTGCCCCCCACGGTAGGGAACGATGCCGACTACGCGGTCCAGACCCAGAGGCTCGACGCCGTCGTACTCGAGCATCCAGGAGTGGAACCCTCCGGTGGCGATGACACCGAGTAAAGCGTCGGTTCCGGCGGTCACCTTGTTCCAGCGGGCCATCATGCTGGCGGTGCCAAAGTGGTGGTCGGCGTGGAGGTGGCTGATGTAAATGGCGCGGAGGTCTTTGAGGACCTCGTCTGTGTCTTCGTTACCATACAAACGGCGGAGTTGGCCAAGTGTGTTCTCTCCGCAGTCGAACAGGTAGCTGCCGTGGCCGGGGACACGGATGAGCGTGGCGGAGACGTTGCGGTACTTGGACGGCAAGGCAGAGCCGGTACCCAGCGGGATGATCTCTGTGTCACGGTTGGGGATATCCTTCTGGGATTCCTCAACTTCGACAAGGAAGGCCGGGTCGGCAATCTTCTTGCTCGCCTCTCTTGCCATCTCTACCACCTCGCGGTGCTGTCCAACCAATGCCTTGAGGGTGCCTATTGGGTCGATAGGGGAAACCAAAAACTCTGAAGAAGGCCCTGGCTTGGGATGCAAGTTGATTCTGGCGCCAGCCGCGCCAACATCGCCCGCACCCACAGGGGCAAGCGGCCGGCTGTCGAACTTCAGTAGAGGGAACCGATCGGGGTCAATGAAATTCAGCTTGAGCGTCTTGTCGGCTGGATCCTGCAGCGCCAGTGTGTTTGGGCAAACATCCTGGCCGAGCAGAACGTGCTGTACCGAAGAAACTTCTTCATGAACTCAACGAGCCTCTCATCACGGTAAGCGCTGAACTGCTCCGACGAGATCCAATACATCACGTCAATCCCGCTCATAAGCGCCGAATCCGACCACTCTGGACGAGCGAGGAAGCTGTTCACCATGTCTTCGGCTGGTATGTCGATCACGGCAAGGCCTCGCCCCGCGACAGTAGGCTCCATGACCATGTCAGGAGTCACCACTGTGCCATTCTCGAGCGTGATAGTTTCTCCATCGATCAACTTTTTGAAGTCAAACTTTGAAACACCAAGCTTATTAGCTTCCTCGGGCTTGAACTTGCCACGTCGTGGGTGGCACTTGGCGATATAACACAGCGACTCGTTGGACGGCTTCGTAATGGGGAGCGTCTCAATCTTGGCCGCCGGCCATGGCGAACGGATCAAGACCCTAATATCTGGCAACTTTTCAGTGTTGCCAGGACGAGGCCCCTTGTACTCCTCGATCATACCGCCTTCGGAACGGAAAAAGATCTTGGCCAATGGGTCGGCATCGCGCAGGTTCACCTCGTGCAGGGTATCAAGACTCCACGTCGAAGAAAACATGCCCGCAACGGCAGCCTGTCTGATGTGCTGAGCCTCCGCATCCGAAAGCTCAGCCTGCTCTGTAACTGCCGTTTCGGCCTCTTCCTCCCCCTCCTCCAAGTCGCTGTGTTTGCGTTTTCTAGACCCTGGACGACTGGCGCTTGAATTCGAGGTTATTGGTAGGTGCCAGATACGGACGAGATCATCCTCAAAGTCGGGGATGGCACGGTCGTTCCTCTGAGACGGCGAATCGGTTCGGATCTCGTTCAGACTAAGGGGAATGCCCTTGCGGAAGATAAACCGTCGGGTAGTAGCCAGAGAATGTACCAAGTTCCTACCTCCGTAGATATGAAGGTCGTCGTCGATATCCCTGTCCTTCGACTTCAACCCCTTCGCTTCCCGCACGGCAAGCTCGTCGGCACGAGCAGCCTTTGCTCCTGCCACAACGTCGGCCAGAGTCAACATCAAGCCCGGCAACCCTCCCGTCGTGCTCCAGTCGACCGTGCCCGTGACAAAGATATTATGGATCTTCGCCATCGCAACCTTCCTCTGCACCATCGCCCTCTGTGTTCCCTCGGCCATGCGCCCAAAGAGATAACGGCGCCGGTCGAAATGCAGCAGCACACACGCCCCCGGCGTGTCAGCCGTGGGGGTGGTGACCACCTGGGTGTAGGAAGTCATCGTCTGGGCGTTGCCCTGGTTCTTTTCCGGGGCGACGGCCTTGTTTATCGTCGTGATTGTCGGGTTTAGCTCTCGAGGAATGTTCAACACAGCTCGGAGCGTGTGTCCTCTTGGTGACCGGCCTGGATACGGAAACCAAACCGAGGTGCCGTCTGACAAGAGCTTGGGTATGTGGTGTCGGGTGATGACACCAATGTAGGAAGGAAAGCCAGGCGGAACCTTCTTCGTTCGTAGAGCAAGTTTCGAGGGGTGGCTCTTTAAAGATGGTCGAGCAATCTTGAGGCGGCTTGGGAGGCGCAAGCGGTTCATTGGGTCATGCCCGCGGCGCTATCCGACGAGGATCTGTTCATAATCGGGTTGAGCGCGGGTGCCTGTTGGCCGGTGAGTCAAGGACCGAAGCCGACGTACGGGAGTTGTGGTTATGGCGGGGCTGCCTGTCGCCCTTCAAACAATTGTTCAAGACCAGGCGCATTTTCTCTTTCTGCCGCTCCACCAAAGATTCACTATTTTAAAGTGGGGCAAACAAGATATAATAAGGAAGGCGGTGTAGCAGGAGGGTTAGGGTTGTCTATCCAAAATATGTAGATTCATGGTCTCATCATTCATCACAACACCCCTATCTTTTATGGGCCTCCTTCAGTGCCTCCTTCACAATACCCTCCGCCTCCTTGATTACATCCTCGCCTCTTCTCCACGTGTACAGCGGCACTCCCATCCCATCCAGTGTCTCATGAGCTCGTGCCAACCGCCTTAGCCACATGTCCACCTTCTTGTTCAAAGCAGCTGCCGCGTTGTTTGGTGGAACATTCGGGGGCGTCAGTGACCCTTGGCTAGAGGAAGTAGAGTGAATAATTCCATCAAAACTGGCGTTGGCTCGCTTCACTGGATGTTGCGCTTGCGGCAGACTCTGCGTACTCGATCCCGTCCCACTTCGCCTAGGTGGGGGAGGTGGCGGTGGTGTCGTTCTATCACGGCTAGCAGCAGGAGAACTAGCGGTACTGGTGATTGGTGGTCGAGAGCCGCTCGACACAGATAATGCGTGAACACGGGGGTTGGGTGCAGAAGCAGGGCTGTCCCGCGAGCTAGCAGCTGTGTCTGATGCCGAGGCGCTCCTCAAAGCATCAGGTTTGGCAGGCCGAGGTGGTGGTGCCTTACGGAGGGGAAGTTCTGATGAAGGCACCGCCGTTCTCGGCCTCTCCTGGTTACTTTCTCTGCGGCTTTGGCTAGGGCTGACCTGAGTTGAGTCATCGGAGAAGTCGATCAAGGTCCCTTCCACAGGCCCTCTAGATCCCGCAGATGAGGCTGACGTTCGGGGAGGCAATTGCGGCCGTGCTTCCTCATTTCTGGGCTCACTTTGCTGTTCAATCCTCGCTCGAGTAGCCCTTAGTGTACTCCGCTGGTCACTGTCAAGCTTGAACCCAGAGTCAAAAAAGCCAAGCTCGTCAGGGGTAGTGACATCGCGAATGAAGATACCCAGCACGCGCCCAGGATTCTGGACTGCAAGGTCGGTATAGACCTCGAGATCAGCCTCACCGCTGTCGCCTACTAGGATGAACCTCCTTTCAGGAAAGTCTCGCAAGATAGCCTCGAGTGTCCCCTTTTTCCTCTCCGCCACTGGTTCAAAAATTCCTTGCAACATCCCGCTGTAGTGCTTCAGGTGTATAGAGCCCTGTGGCAGCCCAGCCATGTGGAAGAAGGTCGCAAGTACCGGAAACAATTGCCATGGACTGTTGGAGCAGTAATGCAACTGGACCCCAAGATCGTGCATAGTATGATACCACTCGGTGACTCCAGGAACAGTCAAATCCGCCAAATCTCGAATGAAAGTGTTACGGAAGATCTCGCGAGCTCCCATGCCAATATTGGAGCGTTTGATTGTGTCGTCCACATCGCTGATCAAGCTTACACCGGTAGAATCGATAATCTCGATGGGATTTGTCGCCGAGATGTTTTCACTCGCCAGTACCCTAACATGGGTGGGCACAAAGTCCAGAAACACGCGAACAATGAAATGCCCCGAGTCATCTGTCTGTATCGTACGAGATCTCGATCGAGTATCGTTGTAGAAGAAGAGTGTGATTGGATGCTGGACAAGAGGCGTCGTCATGAACGGTCCTATTCGCGCCATGAGGTTCGCATTGGCCACTGCCAGCTCAGCCTCTGTCAGGTCGGCTGGCCCCCCCGTATTCGTCCTTGCCGGCAATGGTGGTGATGGTGGCGGGGAGTTCGAGGCTGTCCTACGGGCTGCAGTTCGTGGCCCCCGGGCCGAGTCACTTCGGTCTGGACCCTCGCTGTAGCCCCCTCTTGTCGCAACCTCCTCTTCCTCTCTGCCCTGCTTCTCAATCCTCTTTGCCTCTTCTGCGATTCTCTTCTCTTCTTTCATCTGCTCATGGTCCTCGGCTGACGAACCTGCCTGCGATGTCGTCGGTGGTGGAATGCCACTGAGCCTCCTGGCAAGACCAATCACCATGCGATTTCTTCTGGTCATCGGTCCCGTGTTGGGCATATATATCCAACCCCTGATGTCAACGTCCACGACCGCGTTATTGTCGGCATTCTTATCCCACTCATCCTTCCAAAACCGTTCCTGATTTTGCCCCTGAGATTGCCCATCCCTAGTCTGCTGCTGCTGCGGTTGTGTCTGAACCACCACATGACCAGGCGGGTGTCTTCCAGCTCCCTTCACATGCATCTTTGCATAAGTAGGAAATAGCACCATCTGCTCCTCCCCCTTGTGAATGATCTTGACATCGGGAAACGACCCAGGAATAGAGTACTGGCTCGCATCCATAGACTCCACATTCCGTATCCGGGTGTTGTTGTACTGCTCCTTGATCTCCGACGCAGCAGCAGCACCAGCGCGATATACACTCCCAGCAAAGGCAGCTAATTTCTTGCGCCGGGCACCAGCCTCCCGTGGGGGTCCAGCCTCGCCACCGCTACCATAGCCGCTAGGGTTGGAGGCGTAATTATAGTTGTAACCATGACGTGACGCCATCTTGTTTTCTCCGCCAGCGGTCTCGTCCGAGATCTCGTTCGGTTTTGCGCCTGGAGTCAAGCGTCGGGTGGGTTTTGCGCCGAGCTGGAATTGGCGAAGAACAATGTCCACCAGCCTCCTTTGCTCCAGGCGCTTCCGCTGTCGTTCGGCAAGAAATCTATATATTCGACTCTGCGCGCTCTGCTTATATCGTGGATGTCTGTTTAGGCGAAAGTCGAGAAGGCGCCCTTGAAAGCGCCTGCGTAGGGCGTAGAAGGGAAAAAGCTGGCGCAAAAGTGAGGAGTTGTTGTCTGAAGGTGCCCTTGGCGGGACCTTCGACAGAAGATTGAAGAGACGTTTGAAGCTGGGAGCCACGTTTGCTAATATGATTGTAAAGGATGTTTGTAGAGGAAGTCCGGCGTCACACTCGAGCGGACGTGACTGTAAGAAAAAACCCTGTCAAAGGCTGACGGTAGGATAGGGGACCAGGAAAACTTGGAGAGCTGAGATCGTGGGGTGATGCGGGGAACTTTGCAACCAGCGAAAAGAAGGCGAGTAGAGCCCTTGGTGTCTATTGACTCGGGTTTAATTCTTGACAAAAGACCAGTCTCAACAAAATGCCCAAACAATGCTGGGGTTTCCAAACAATGTCCAGACGTGGTAAAAGCTGGAGTGTTGCCCAACTTTGGAGCTCAATTGCTGCGAATTACGTCACTGAGCTAGGCGACCACTCAACTGTGAGCTACTTGGGGCACGAGCCACACACACAGCGCCCGCTGACGTGAACAATGAACGAGAACTCTCTCGCAGTCCTGAAAAATCGCCAAATGTTGTATTACACTGCTGCTAACGGGATATCACTGTGACTTCTACCTCCTCTTGAACGACTTCTTGCCAGCCGGCCCCTTCGTCTTGGGCTTCTTCACCTTGGAAAGGTTCAGGACCGCCCCCTTTCCAGCTCTCTCTTCCTTGCCCTTCTTCCATGTCCTGCCTTCCTTCATTTCTTGCTTGGCATCGAGCTTCTTCTTATCCTTGTTGCTCAGCTTGCCTTGGCTCTTCTTCTTGAGCTGTTCCCTTATGCCGTTGAGCTCTTCGCGGCCCGCAAGTTTGGCGGCTCTCTTGTCATCCTGGGTCTCGAACCATGTACGCTTGGGTCGCGAGGCGATCTCCTCTTCGTACTTGATCATGTTCTCACCCTTCTTGACCTGCATCTCCACTTGTTGAAGTTGCTTCTCCTCCTTCTCTTCCTGCATGATCTCCTTGATCTCGCCCTCCATCTCGTCAATCTGATCTTGCCACTTGTCGGCATCAGATGCCTCGATGATTCTGCTGGTAATCTTTGCGCCCTGAGCCTTGCCGGCCCTGACAGCCGCCTTGACAACCTTGCGGTCGGGCTCGGCTGCCAGCGTGAGGGCAACACCGCTACGGCCCGCACGGGCAGTACGACCGATACGATGGATGTAGATTTCCAAGTTTTGAGGGGCCTCGTAGTTGATGACAGTGTCAACACCCTTGATATCCAAACCACGAGAGGCCAAATCTGTAGCTAAAAGGAAATTGACCTTGCCGTCTCTGAATGCTTCAACACTAGCAATACGCTGCGATCTATCAGTATCATGATGTTAGTCAAGACCAAGAAGAGAACATACCTGTGCTTGGTTCATGCTGCCGTGAAGCTCTGCGCAGCTCATGCCTAAAAGACCAAAGATGATGCGAGTCTCGTGCGCAATCTTCTTTTGCCTGAAGAAAATAATGACGCGTTCTGTGTAAAGGGTCTTGCAAATGTGTACCAGGTATCCCATACGCTTCTTCTCACGGCCCGGCCGCAACCGCACAAACTCTTGTCTGAGGTTGCTGGCAGTCTTCTTTTGAGAATCAACCTGGATGCGGACAGGCTTGTTGAGACCGGCACGAATGAGCCTGTCAACGGACGATGTCATGGTGGCCGAGAAGAGCATCGTTTGCCTCGACTTGGGGAGGGTGGTGAGAATTTCGTTCAGTTCATCCGCGAACCCGTCTTCGAGCATTCTGTCGGCCTCATCAAGCACCAGAATCTCGACAGTCTCAACAGCAAAGCTGGCAGAGTTGCGCATATGATCAATGAAACGACCAGGGGTGGCGATGACCACATCAGGTCTCAGGCGCAGCTCCTGTTCTTGAACCTTCAAACTAAGACCACCAACAGCCAGACAGAACTTGATGTCTGTGTGCGATGCCAGCTTGACACCGACAGCGTGGCACTGAATGGCCAACTCACGCGTTGGCGCCAAAATGACGACTCTGGTTGTCGCAACCTTCTTTGACCGGTAGAGGAGACGCTCGAGAATGGGTACGAGGAAGGCACCCGTTTTACCGGAACCAGTCACGGCACCACCGACAACATCCTTGCCCATGAGTGCGATTGGTATTGTCTTGGACTGAATTGGCGTGGGCTTTGTGAATCCGACCGAGTTCAGACCCTTGAGAATAGGACGGGAAAGCGACATCTCGAGGAAGGAACTGTGGACGCCCTTTTCTTGCTTGACGTCGTCCTCATCGGCAAAGAACTCTTTCCTCTTAGCAGCCTCCTCGGCATCTTCTTCATCGTCTTCGGATTCGGAGTCTTTCTCGTCGTCGGGGTGATTGATGGGTGTCGCGACCGAGTCATTGTCCGAAGCAGCATCGTCGTCGTCGTCGGCCTCGCCATCCTTCTCCTCGTCCTCATCCTCAGAATCGGAACCGTCTTTTGGCTCCTCCTCCTCCTCCTCCTCGACATCAGACCCCACGCCCATACCAAAGCCATCCTCCGCCAACACCTCATCATCGTCGTCGTCAAGGTCCACTTCCGCCATCTCCTCATCCTCTTCTTCCACTTCCTCCTCCTTCACCTCCTCCTTCTTCTTCCCAGCCTTGGCCTCCTTCTTCGCCCTCCTCCTCTCAATGATAGCATCCAAATCAACCATAACCTTATTCTCGCCCCCCTTGAGCATATTCTTCTTCGCATCGTCAAAACCCCACGCGCCGTCGAATTCTTCCCCAAAGTCGTTCACACCTTCGAGCGCAAACTCAAAGTCGGAATCCATAGCGCCATCATCCCAAACAGCCTCCTTGTCGTCCTTCCCCTCCTCTTCTTCCTCATCCTCCCCCTCCTGTCGTTGTTGCTTCTTCCCCTTCTTGCCCTTCTTCTCCTTCTTCACAGTCTTGGTCTTCTTTTTTGGCCGAGCGGCGGCGGCGGCAACCTCGACGTCCTCCTCCTCGTTTGGGATTTCCTCATTGTCGGAGATGGTGAGGATGAAGTCGTCGTCGACGGTTTTTCTCTTCTTTTGAACGGGCGCCATTTTGGGGGTGTGAAATTGGATTTTTTTTGCCCGGTTTTGGCTTGGTCGGAACAGTGTTTGGAGATGCTGCGAAAGACTTGTTGCTGCAAGGTCAATTGCTGGTGGGGCCGAGTTGTTCAAAAATTTGGGACAGGGAACTTTTTCTGCCGGGCGGTGGGGCGATAAGATGGTTTGGTGTGGGTGATAAGACCTATACCTGGAATTTGCTACCAATTGCTTTCCAAATTGCAAACGGGGCAATGAAAAAGAAAGAACCTCTTTTTGAATGCACTGAGTCTTCTTATTTAGGAACCGCAAATTGTATGTGACAAGTTGTGAGCTCGTTTTGGAAAAGATTCCTCACCTCGAATTCAAAGATCAGTCTCCACTGTAGCTCGCCGCTCAGACCCGCTAACAACGCAAGGCTGGGCGTCCCCACAGCAGCTCGCCCCACCTGGCGTGCACGCGCATCATTGTACACTGACAGAGCGTCCAGCCTCTCTCTCAACTCATTCCAGAGATCATCACCAACTTAACTTTCGAGTACACCCACCACAAACAACGTCGCGCAACCAAGCTTTTCCCCCTTCCCACTGTCAAAATCAATCAACATCAACTCCCACCACTCTCTCAACTCTCCTCCCGTCTTTTAACCCACCTATTTTCCCCTCGACCACACCACTTCCCATTTGGCCAAGATGGCACCCGTAACCTCCGACCTCCCCCAAGTCCAAGGTGACCCCCTTTCCCTTTCCCTTCCCTTCCCCCCTCCCGTCCCATTTACTAACCCCCCTTTCTCTTACAGACTCCGTCTCAACAACCCTAACCCTCCTCTTCCAAACCCTAACCAACATCTCCCTCTACGACTCCGCCGGCCGCCCCTCCGCCCCGGTCCTAGCATCCGACCTCACAGCCCTAGACGACTCCCTCCTCAAAGTCTCCCGCCTAGCCAACGCCCTCCCCCCCTCCGCCGTGCCCGGCATCCCCCTCCCCCTCATGGAATACGTCGAAAACGGGCGAAACCCCGACATCTACACCAGAGAATTCGTCGAGCTGGTCAGGAGGTTGAACCATCTCACCAGAGGCAAGATGCACGCCTTTCGAGATTTCAGGGATGTCCTCGCGAGAGAGATGGCGGCGGCTATGCCTGAGGTGAAGGAGGATGCGATGAGGGTGGTGGAGGAGACGGGAGGGAAGGGGCCGGTTTTGTTGGGAGACGAGGAAGGGAAGACGGAGGGGAGGTGATGCGAAGGGATGAGATGGGAATGGCTCAAGGAGTAGCGGTTGTCGAGTGGGGGGGGAGATGCTCAGAATATTGGGTGATATTTTTTGGCGTTTGGGAAACAGGGCAAAGATACCAGCGCATATGCAGGCGCAACTTTTAGAGACTGGGATGATTTGGTTTTCGGCGCATTTGGCAGATTTGATATGTTTTGGGACAGTCACTCGCATAAGAGGGCAGAGACAAACAATCAAGAACAATTATTCAATTTTGTACATCATATATCTAGTATAATCCTGGCCGCCTCTTCCCTCTCCATCTAGCCCCTTTTGATCCCCTCCCAAAACCAGGATATCACCCGCTTGCTTGCTCAATCGAAACACCAGCAAAGACAAGACCCTCCTACATCTAATGCTGATACAAACACCGAACCCGCCAACTCAGCAGAATGCCTGGCATGGAAGACGAAACAGAAAACCGAGTCGAACCATCAGCGACCCCTCTAAATTATTCCACAATAAAACAAACAACTAACAGAATGTATAAAAGCAAAGCTCTTTCTTCCCTCCCAATAAAATAATTACGTTTTACCCTTCCTCCCCTCCATTAATTCTCCGCCACCGCCTTCAACGCCACATTCAAAGGCACAATCTTCAAGCTCCTCGCTCTCCTCAACCCGCCACCCTTGTTACTTCCCGAGCTGCTGCTTCTTTGCGGCTCGCCAGCTGACTGTTGTTGTTGCTGTTGCTGTGAGGGCACCACCGTCCTGGTGGGACTGGCGCTGTCTCTCCACTTTCTGAACACGGCTTTCAAGTCTCTTGGGATACCCTCCAACACGACGGTGGCAACAGGGACAAACGGTCTGTCCTCCATGCCGGCGGCAAGTATGGCGTATTCTTGAGCAAAGTCCAGCGCGATGTGGAAGGCGGCGTATTGTGACTGCGACTTGCCTCCGACGATGATGTAGATTTCGAAAAAGGCGTCGAGGACGTAGATCTTGGATGGCGACAGGTCTGTTTGGCTAAAGGGTGACAGTTCCTCGATCTGGAGCTATGTTAGCATGGTAATCCAGCGATTCAAACCAAAGCATAATCATACCTGTGTGCTGCTGGAGGCATCGGCATTGGCAACAAACAGCCTGTTGCTGTATCTGCCATAATTCGTCTTCAGCCTCCAGTGATCCGCCGAGATAGGCCGCGTGTTGGTGGTGGCCCCTGCCCCAAAGAGAGCCCAGAATCTCGGAGTCTCATAGCCCTCGTCGACCTCGGCCAGATCGCCCGACAACGCAAACTCCATGCCCACCAATCTCGCACAACCCAACTCCTCCATGTCACTGCCTTTGCCCTTCCAGAGAGTACACTTGCCTTCCTGGGTGATCAGATAAGGAAAGCCAGAGCACAGACTCAGAGGCGAGAAATCAACCTCATCGAACGCAACCTGGCCGTGGTACCGCCTGCCACAGAGCATGTGCGGCGCAAGCGAGTCGTATTTGTTGCTTGATCCACGTCGAACAATGATAATGCCGCCGAGAGCCTGCAGAAATTCGGAGCTCTCCTTGCCCTGTGTTAATTTGATGAGCTTGCCGCCAAAGGAGCGAGCTTCCCTCGCCGCAAAGAGGTACGTATCCTCCACGACAGGCGAGGGAACCTCGTCGCCGGCCCAAAAGTAAATTTCATTCACGTTCCTCCCAGTGCTGTCAATGAAAGAGTGGGGGCAAATGTACATCTCACGCTCGAACAAGACCCGTTCGTGATGTGGCGGCACAGGTATCTTTTTGCCCTCTGGGGTCAGTTGGAAAAGCTGAGCCAGTTGAGTGCGAACGGGCGCGGTCGATACCGGCCGCTTTACGAGAATCTCGGCCGCGTCGGTAGTGTACTTTCGCCGAGGACGCTCTGAGCCAAAGAAATCGGTAAGCATAGACGAAACATCCGAAGCATGCTTCGTAGGAGACCGGAAAGAAGGGGATTGTACAAGAGGTGGGGGGGACGCGACCGTCCGAGGAGGCGTAGATGTGACCGCGGGAGGCTCGGGAAGAGGCCTAGCGCCCTTGGGGGGCACTCTAGGTGGTCTCTCGAATTCTTTGGTGTCTTTTCGAGGTGGCTTTGGGGCCACGTCCGACTGTGTCAAGCCCAAGCCGACTCCGCCACCAAGCACTGGGGGGGTGCTCTTGATGGGCGCTGATGGCTCGAGCTGGGGCCTTTCGCTCAACAACTGCTTTCCAGCCGAGGGACTAGCCAGGCCCGAGAAGCGGTCCTTGGACGGTGAGGACGACCGCAAAGCGAGAGGCTCGGGTTGCGGGCTTGCAACGGCGGTGAAGCTCTCTTTGGCAGGTGAAGCGGGTCGTGACTTCACAGGCTCGGGCAAGATAGTGGCCTGGTCTTGCTGATCCATGAACTTGGAGATCCTCTTCATATCGAGCTTCTTTGGGCTTGACGGTGCGGGTGTAGCGTCCTCCTCAGCGGCACCCAAGGCCTGGTTCTTGGCCGCAAGGGCAACTACCTGGTCAAACACCTTGGTTGGAGAACGGGAGCGGGTTCTGACAGGAGTAGACACAGCTGCTGGTTCTTCGGCAGCTTGCTGACCCTTAGCAGCAAGCGCTGCAGCCTGTTCATGAACTTTGGTGGTGGATCGAGGGCGGTTTCTGATGGGAGCAGAGGCCGGTGGAGCCTCATCCTCGGCAGGCTTTGATGCTTGTTGACTCAATGCCGCGAGTGCTGCCACCTGTTCATGCACCTTGGTCGGCGACCGGGCTCTGGTTTTAACAGAAGGAGATCCAACCAGAGAGATGGGTTGGCCGGTAGGCTCAGCTTCCACTTTCGAAGCCCGGCTGGAAGAATCAACGAGTGCAATGACCTCTGCAACAGACTTTCGCCTCTGCAGAATGAACGACTTACGCCGTTCCGCAACCGACTCACTGTCTGTCTTGGAGCCAGAAAACCTGTCCGGCTTCGGGGATGTCACTGGCTTCTCGGTCTTCGAGGCTGCGGTGTCGTTCTCGGCCGTCGCAGAGCTAGCGAATCTGGAAGGCTTGGGAGAAGTGACTGGCTTGGCCGGGGGCGGAGCGGTGGCAGCTTCCTTGTTCAAGTCGGCAGACGATTGCTTCTCCACAGGTTGCTCAACGGCCTTTGCAATACTGGACGGGGCCTTCCTCTTAGGACCACGGGCTCTACCCTTTGTCATATGAGTCAGCTGAGGCCCAGGCTTTGTGGGTTCTTCTGTTGCCGCAGCTTCTCCAGAGTCAGGGCTAACAGACGCCTCTGGGCTCTTGGCTGGGCCCGAAGCTCCTAGCGGACCTCTTGCTATGAGGCCTGCCAAAGCAGGATTGAATCTCTCTGCTAACCCTCCAACACTGCCCCCACTTCGGCCACTAAGCCTCCCGGGCAGTGTCGTTTGTTTTGTAGCCGTTGTTGGCTCAGCTTCTGGAGAAAATTTCGAGGCTGTTGATGAGGAGATTTCTGGCTTGGGGGAGAAATAGCTGGTGCGATTTGAGCTGGCAAGCCCAGGGGATGCCTGAGGTAATTCCGGAGGGGAAGGCTTGGAGAAAGTACCAGTTCGGTTGAGCTCCAACTTCTTGACCAGGCCCTCGGGAAGTGACTTTTCGGATGCAGAGCTAAGTTCTCTTGTGACACCCCGCCCTTCTTGTGCCTTTTTGAAATCCTCTTTTTTCTTTAGGATAGCGTCTTTGAACTCGTCCACACGCTCCGTCTTTTTGGGTCCGCCAGTGATGCTCAAGCCTCTCTTGCCTCTTACAATGTTGTCCTTGAGTTCATCTGGAGCCACATAATTCTGTGTCTTGGTCCTGCGCAGGCTTCCAAACACAGTCTTGAGCTCATCTACAGCTTCTGATGACTTGTTAGCATCGAAGGCCGGAGAGCGGTGCTTGAGATTGGCGCGGAAATCATTTTTCGACGCTACCTCAGGCTTAATCTTGGCTGGTAGGCTGGGGGCAGTAGTCTCAAAGGCCTCGTTTGTTGGTGATGGTTTTCTGAGGTTGTTACGGAAATCGCTGACCGGCGCTTTATCGCTCGTCGCAACTGCAGGAACAGCCGGGAACGAGCTCAGCGCGGATGGTTTCAGACTGGCTCCCATGGGAGTGGACCTCATAAGTCCGTCGGTCTTCACTTCAGCCTTCTTCAAGAAGGATGGGCTTCGTAGCGGCTCCGCGCTCGCGCTGATCACTTTTTGCGCCTTGGCCTTGTTCAACTCTAGCATCCAGGCAGGCTGGTTTGGTGCAGGGGTTGGGGCAGGCTTCGCTTTGGGGGACTCTGGTTTGTTGAGAGCAGCCTCAAGCCAGCTCGAGCTTTTGGTGGGACTCCATCTCCGGGGATCCATTGTCTTTGAAGGGCTTGTTGGAGGAGTAGTTTTTTCAGATTCATCCTGTTGCTCAGCCTTTGGCTGTTTTGGAGTCTTCGCTCCAGCCGGGATGTCTTCCTCTTGCTGTAGTTCCTTCTCTTCCTTTTGGTCTTCCTGTTGAGCCTCCGTCTTCTCTGCCTCCTCTTTTCCATAGCTCGAAGTAGGTCTTGAAAAGGGGGTCGACGATCCCTCTCTGAACAGCATGCTAGTAGGACGAGGGCTGGCCCTAGGAGACACCACGGAGTCGGCACGTTGCAAGCCCCCTGGAGAATTTACACTCCACCGCTTGACGCTATCGGAACGCTTCATCATGGCACTTTGCACAAATCCACCCATTCCTTTGGTGGGAGACCCGGTTCTTGCCGGCGATGTCCGCCCAGGTGATGCGATAGAGTGACGATTAGATGTTGGGGTGTCAGGTTCTCCGAATGCATCGCTAATTGGGGGCTCGAGACGCTGGGCGCTTGTGATAGGGAGGGGCGATCCGAGCTGCATGGGCAGAGTCTGAGACTCAGGTCGAGGGCTATCCCTTGGGGAGTCCGTTGTGGAGGGACGAGACATGCCGGGAAGCTGGGTGCGTGCAGATGAAGTGACATCAACCGTGTCTTCGTCCTCGACCTGAGTCTTCCTGAATGCTCCCGAGCCGCGGCCAGGGTCGGCCGTCTGCCGAAACCAGGAGGGGTCCTTGCCAGCCAGGGACTGCGCAATCTGGTCTCGAGAGAGGGTTTCCTCGGCCGGAGGTGACGGTTCGGAGAGGTTGGGCGAGTTTCGAGCGGCGTTCTCAGCAGCCACCATTGATAATGGTCTCATCTTGATCCGATCGGAGGTTTGTGACCTAGGCCTTCTTTGCCACGAAAGGGGAGATCGGGCAGAAGCGACACCGACAGATGGCGAAGTTACAGAGACACTCGTTCGCTTGATATCGGAGTCGAGGGGGGACTCGTTTTCTTTTGTTGGTGGGCTCGATAAGTCGGTTACGCTATCCGTAGGCTCATCCAATGATGATACACCCCGCGGCAGTGGGCTTCCCGAACGCTCGAATGCAGGAGATGGCAAGCTTGTGCCATCGGCAAGCGACGGTAGACCAATTCGATGTGAGGTAGGTGATGGCGTGTTGGCTGGGGAAGACTTTTGTGGTGAAATCGATCTTGCGCGTTCTGTGAAAACAAAACAAACAAAACAGTTAGTTTAGCTCCTTAGCATGTGTGTACAACCTCAACTTCGGAGCCGGCGGGTGGATTTTTGGCGACGTCACAGTGCGCCGAGGGTCGAGAGGTCGGAAATTCCACAGCAGCACGACAACGGCGGTCCTAGCTGGCTGTTTCTTCCCGTGGGCTGAGCAAGTTCGGACGGTGGAGGGGGGTGGTCGGTGGTCGGCGGGATGGCGATGTGCGTGTGGGAAGTCAAATCAGAACAACGGATTGGCTGCGTACCTGCACGTCGGGCCTGTCGCTCTCTCTTCTCCTGCAGGATCCTCTCCTCGAGTTCTCGCGAGCGTGCCTCGTCCTCTTCTTCGCGTCGCTCCTTCAACAACTCGACTGACCGCAAAAAGTCGGAAACCTCGTCAGACATGGCGTCGTCCTGTCTGCATGACACGCACACGGGGGAAATTAGATTAAAGATGTAAACAATAGGGAGAGCGCTTCGGCGCGGCTCTGTGCTGTCGGGGCCCGGGGCAGTATCACCAAATCCACGACGGGCTGGTGTTCGCACTTCAAGAGCTTCAAGGAATAGGTAGGCACAAGCAGGAAGAGAGCATGTAGGGTCCTGGAGGGGCACTTTTGATGGTCTCAAACTGGAACCGGACCGGCAGCACGGGACAACACTTTGGACGCATGGAGGCTTGGGACGGGAACCTGGCATCGGCCCTGTGGCTCCACTGCAGCACTCTCCGCCTGCTGATAGGCTGCCCGGAACTTGTCTCAAAGCCCCCTGCGCAGCTCTCCCGGAGGCGCTCTGACCACATCCACGGCAGTGTCAACGAGGATGCTACCTCGACATAAAAGCCATTGTTTCAAAAACATACTTCCGTACCACATTCTACGTGCTGTGGGATCCTGTGCCTGTGATCCTTTTGCTGGTGGTCTGTTGGCTTCATCAGAGTCGTAGTAGCCTGCTGACAGTGGACATCGCTCATGTTGTTGGCTGGCTGAAAAAAGAGCTTTTTTAGAAGTAGGCCCACCCAGCTGACTGGTTTATTTACTCAGATTGCCTGGGCAACTCTCCCCTGGCCTAAAAAACACTCACCATCATGGAGGCTCTTCCTTGACTCTAATTTCAGCTGCAATGACGTTTGGCTCTCCACCTCTCCGCTGGGTTACAATGGCGGGGTGCATCACAAGCCCTCCAGAAATCCTGGAACAAGTACCGACATGGAATGAAACAAGGTCGGTAGAATAAATGTTGATTGTTGGACTTTTGAACCGTGTTCTTACCGAAAATCAAGATCTATGATGTGTGGGGAGTTTAGTAAAGAAACAACCGGGCTTTGGCGTCGTCCACAACCCAAGCCAGACCTTCTTTCAGGTTTTGTCCCGTGACAGCGCTACATCTCAGAATATTCCACTGATGTGTTCGAATCTCATCAAGGTTCAGTCCCTATAGTTGACCATAAGTTAGTCTGGACACTGGATAACACCAGTGGGATGGGAAGACGTGGCATTGCCGCATACATCTTTAAGCTCCTCTGCCGTCATGCACCCTTCAACATCTGTCTTATTTGCAAACACAAGCAGACTTGCCCCTGAAAGTCGCTTTTCAACTTATGTCAGCAGCTAGCTGTCGATACAGATCTCGAATCACCTACCTCTTCCTGAAGAAGCCCATGCAATTCCTCTCTGCAGTCGGCAATGCGCAGTCGATCTGTGGCATCAACCACCCAAATCAAGGCGTCGGTCTTTTCGAAATAGTTGCGCCAGTACGAACGAAGAGTCTTTTGACCGCCGACATCCCCTGCTACAGTTAGCTGATGGTTGTTTGGGCGTGTGGTTAGGTAGGGCCACTCACAAATATTTAACTTGTATCTTGACAGGAGTTACTCAGTCAGTATGTATTAGCGCTTGAAGATGGTCATAACCTACCCTTCATAGTCAATCGTCTTGATGATGAAGCCAAGGGTGGGGCTGACGGTGTTGATATCCTCGCCCATGATCTTTTTGACAATGGTGGTTTTGCCCGCATTGTCAAGACCACTACCATTTCTCAGTGGACTGGACAGGCTGATGAAACAATGGACGGCCTCACTCACAGCATCAAAATGCGCAGCTCCTTGTCCTTCAACCTTGCCTTCCTCAAAATGGACAGCATGGCGGTTGGCCTGCCTAACAACAGTTGCTAATTGCGGGGTTCAAGGTTTTGGCGGAACTGAGCCAGGTCAACAAAGAAAACCTCAAGAAAAAAAGGGACAGTGTTTTTTAGAGGGAGACTATGTCATTTGTCACAAGTTGTGGATTTGTTGATTCTTTGGAGATTGTTGATGCCTATTTTCGCAGCTTTGTGGCCCATTGTTTGGAGGGTTTGCGCACGTGACCACCCCTGGGACGACCACTTCAAGGCAGTGAGACAATTATGCAAAGGTGTGGGTGCTAGTTTGAATGCAATGTCTTCGAGGCTCGGCCTTGAAGATAATCGACACGTACTGAGCTTCTAACCACACAACAAGGTGATTTTGCTCCTCGAGAGAGAACTGGCTCTTTCCTCCTCTTTGCCTGTCTTTTGTTTGCTCCGAGCCCCCATTGGTTGTGATTCCAGGTTTGGCACTGTCAGAGTCGGTACGGTTTTCTCTTTGACGGGCCGTACCCGCAGAGAGCAATATTCATCATCCAACCGCTCCTTCCTCAGGTCAGAATTAACATCAGACTTTTTTGTCAAGTGAGGGGCTGCTCTGCCGGCAACAGATTACTAAAGCCTCTAAGGTAAACCTTCAGCCTTCTCTTCTTACCTCACCCGTCCCTCTTCTTCTCTCGCACTGCAGACATTCTCAACTGCCTGGTGCCAGCTGCTTCGCCTAGTCGCAACCTTTCGCCAGAGTTATTCCCACCTTACGAAGTCGCCTGGCTCATAGTTGCCGAGCTCATCACCTTTTTCTCCTCCGTGAGTCACACAGGTGACTCCCATCTTGTCACTAGATATCTACTTCACTCCTGTTCGGTTGCGACTAGTCGCCTCAGGTATCTCTTCCCATCGCTTACTAGTTTCTCGTTCTGACTTCTAATCTTTGTTGTCCGCTCGACAGCATGTACAAGCAAGTTGGGCCCCAGGTACCCAACCTAGACTCGATCGAGTCGACCGCCAACTTCATGGCTGCCGCAGCCAGATTCAACCCTCGCCATGGAATCAAGAGACTTGGTCAGCAGGAGGAGTCCAACTCTCTTGATCGTATCCTTGCCGATCAGCGAGCCCCTACCGACAGGACAGGGCTTGGATATGCCCCAGAGCCAGTTGCTTCCCAGGAGAAGCCCTCCGGTATTGTCTCGAGTATCCCGTACAGAGACAAGGATGGGTGGCACGTTCCCCCGATTACACGAGAGGCCCTCGAGGAGTCGGCTAGAATTGCGATGGCCCCTCCCCAGTCACAGTCTCATGCCGACGATTGGGGTGATGGTTGCGGCCCGGCTTCCCCCAATAATTGGGACGACGGTTGGGGCTCGACTCCTGCTCTGAAGTCTGATTGGGACGAGGGTTGGGGTTCGGCTCCCGCTGTGAAGATTGAGAATTCAACATCTGCCGCCAATGTTCAGAAGAGCGGGTCGCGCGTGATCACAAAGCCTGGACCGGGCACTGGTAGCTATGGGTTCCCTTTAGCAGCTCCAAGTGGTTGGTATGACGCATCGGGCCCATCAACTTCGAGAGGAAACTGGGGCACAACTGTCGATTCACCTTACGATCTAAAAGTAAATCAGTCGAGACGCTATATAGCCCCTCATCTCCGTCAGAAATTCGTGTCCGCGGGCACCCAGCCTGGCCAGCCTGGGCCAACAGGTGCTGCTTCAACTTCGAGGCAGAATCCATCGACTGCCCAAGTCGAGAAAGCGAGCCTTCCTGTATCTACTAGTACAGCCCAACCCATGCCTCTCGCTCACACCCCTGCCAAACGCCCGTCGAGTGAGCGCTTGGCGATTCTCCCACTCAAGGCTGAGAACATCTCTCCAGATCTTGTAAGTACACGCCTTTCTTCACATCAGGGTACGCCCTATGTCTAACCTGGATTCCCGCGCAGACTACATATAGGATCCCCCGTCCCGACATGAACTTTCATGGCTCTGAGAATAGCCCTCCCGCCTCGGTAAGCACCATTGACATCAGCGATACGGGCGTCCAAGAACTTCCGGGCACCCGTGACGTTCGCAACTGCATTGCCTTGGAGAGGGATGTTTTTGTGGACAGGCAAGGTAGATTTTACCAGACCAATTGGGCGAAGGCATTTCACCATCGTGACAATGATGACGAGTACTTCGACACCGAGCATTATCTCACGCCTTTCGTCACTACTTGGGTCCAGGGTGTTCCAGACGACGTGAGGCCTCGATTTCTTCGTGATGAGGTACCTGACCATTGGAAGTCCGATGTCGACACCAACACCGGCTTACTTGTGGAGCCTGTTCACTTCCCTGACACAATTATAGGCGATAATTCCGCGCTGACGGGGGAAGAGGACTGGCGACGACGTAACTGGTCCAGCAATCTCCTGATTCACCGCAGATTTGCTGAGCAACACAAGTACAAAAAGAAGAAGGGCCTCAGGGCTCAAGAACGTCAGCTGGCCTACAAGCCGGGGAAAGTGGAAGAGTACGTCAAGCCTGAGCCCCAGCCGGAGGATGAAGCGACTGCAATGACTCCTTACGATCGGGGTGTTCCCAAGATTCCGGCCTTCCTACGACCCGCCGAAGTGGTTGATATGAGAGCAGTCAGCCAAATCTATGAGGCTGAAATGAGGAGTGGCTTTCAGGTTGTTGACTCGGAACCTCCTACGGCTGAAGATTGGGAAACGGTCTTGCGGACCTCTCGTGAGTTCTCAATGCCTTTCATCGTCGCCGTCTACGGCAGCGCTCGTGGTTTGCGTTTGAAGGAGGGCAACCTTCAGTGGTCCGACGAACCCCAAGTCCCTTACAATGAGCAGGACGCCGCAAGGCAAGGATTTGTCAAGGGTCAAATCCTTGGGTTTGCCTATGCCAGCGTTTGGCAGCCAGGCATCGCTGGCAGTGGACAAGGCACAAGCCGGTATACGGCCAGACTCCATGTCTGGGTCGATCCCAAGCATCGTCGGAATAAGTTGGGATTCTGTCTCCTCGACAAGCTGCTGGCTTTCATGTCGCCCCCGCACATTCCTCGCACGGGAATCGATTTTATCGACATCCACAACAATCCGATTTACCACAAGTTGCAAGATGACGATTTGAAGGGAACCCCCATGGAGGAGTTGAAGAAAGAGGAGGCCAGACGGAACAGGCCCAGGAAGTATTACAACGTCCAAATCAGCTACAAGTTCAAGCACAGGCCCCGCTGGCAACTGAACAACCCGACACGACACCCAGCTCTCAAGGATTATGTCAAGGACTTGGACTGGGTGAAGAAGTTGTTGGAAGAGAAGCTTCCATTCATCAAGCTGGTCACATTTGAGGCTGTCCATCAGTCATCGAAGCTGAGGGAGCCGAAGGAAGAAGATGGCAACAAGAAAGTCTTCTGGCTCGATGAGTTTGTGTGGGAGTATTACTGCACCTCAGGCCTGCCTGATTCTGATGATGGCTTCTAGTTCTCGGGAGTGGCTGATCTGGGCTGGCTGAGAGCAAGGGGTACTCGTCAACGGGGAGGGGAGGAGAGGAGTCTGCCTTGAGGCAGAAGGTTTTTACGGTTGAAAGTAGTAATGTATGCCTTACTGACATGATTGGTAATATTTGCGGCCATCTTCCAAGATGGAATTACCGGCGTGGGAAGATAATTACTGTGGATGTGTAGGTTTAGTGTGTCATGGTCGGAAGGAGGGCGAAAGGGTCTATACAGACATAATCATTGTGACATTAGTTTTGGTAGTCGGTGGGCAAAGGAAAAGAGAAACAACCAGTGGTTGTTGTATTATAGCGGCGAGATTTTTGCTGGTGCTTGCTTGTTCTTCCATTTTTTTGACATATTGATACTGCCTAAGATTTTGAGATTCTTTCTGTTCTCTCTAGACTATGCTTCATGCTACAATGGAAATTGTAATGATGCTGCATAGACTCAGGTCCCTGATTGTTGTGGAAGGGTTTGTTTACATCTCTACCCCTTTTCGCTGACTATCAAGAATTCTTTTGTTGCCTATTCACACTCCGGTTCCGTGCCAATCCTTGCCATCTTTTACGTCTTTTTGTTTTCATATTGATGCTCTTTATACCTAGGATTGTGAAAACGGCGTTTGCCTATATCTTATCACGCCCTCATATACACCTTATCATAGCTCATATCATATACCCCCCCCTCCCTTTTCTTCCACAGTTTCCCCATTGAACCCCGGCTACCGGTCGCGCAGAAGCGGCCGTCAGTTTTTGAGTTTTCGGTCCGAAACCCTTTCTTCAGCTTTGGCCCGTGGTGAGGTGTGCGATTATTCGGTGGTGGTTATACGTAATGGGTAGGTGGTGTAGAGTGGTGTGGTTGTGGTGGTGTAAATATCAGCCAACCCACAACCCTTTTGCTTCCCGCCTAGGTTCGCTACGTAACCGAGCTCCCGAGGGATGCATGCATGCTTAAGAGAAAAGAGCTCAATGTATAAAAGACCCAAAGTGGGAAGTTCATTCCACCCTTTTCGCTTGTTCCAATTGTCTGGTTCTGGCTCTTGTATGCAGGCCTCGCTCAATTTGGACAATTTCATGTCTGCGATGTATGGCGCGGCCAGCGAATGCAACATTGAAGGAATTGGAATTGGAGGTACCAGAGAGCTGTCAACCAAGGGTAAAATATATGATTTTACCCGGAAGCCCAATCGAGATTTTTGACGGTAGCTCTTTTGCCTTTTTGGGCGGGGACTGGAGGGGAGAGATGGAAGGGAGGAGAAGAGATCTGAAACATGTCATGGTCTCGTTTCCAGAGATTGGGGACTGGTGGGTTGAAGAGACGTTGGGGTTTGGTTGCTGTACATATATCCAATGGGGTATAGAAATGGTAAAAGAGGTGTTGAAGAGTAGAAAGACAATTGCAACTTAAGCGCAATCGTGAGTAGGCACCTACCGTTGATTGATAACCAGACGCCCGAGTTTCTCCAGTAGATATTACAGCTGCGAGAAAGAAGGCACGGGACGGGATGAAACGAAGTGGCGTGGAGAGGTGGTAATTACCTCTACCAGACTTTCCAATTGTCTTCACAGAAGACAGACACTTCCAAAAATTCAGAAAAGTAACGCGAGAGATAACGTGAGAAAGCAAGTGAGAGAAACCAATACCACCTCTGCTTTGCCGACCTGCTGTCAAAAAGTCTAGACTTCAAAGATCTCAGACTTGACACTTGCCGAACTGTGGATCCGTCCCCGTCTCCATCTCTCCCCCGCATCATACTGGAGAAGTAAAGTAATCATGAACTTGACACTCATATTTCCCAGTTGGTAACACATCTGGCCGAAAATTCTACAAGCCGTCCCGGACTGAACAAGATCCGGGGATCGAATCGTGTCAAATCTCTCCTCGAGCGAGCCGTTGGCGAGTGTGTACTGGCCGTTGGGTTGGTTGCTGTCGTACATACATACATACATACATATGACCCCCCATAAGCCACAGAACAAGAACTCCGCATCTGCGTTGTATTTCTGCTGCGTGTTGTTCGGGCTTCTGCTGAGAGTCCATGGTTCTGCAAGCTGTGCCGTCTCGTTGCGTTTTATGGAATCCCTTGGAAGTGGGGGAGAGTACAGGTGGTAATCAATTCCTGCAGGCGAATCAGGCAGTGAGTCGGTGGGTAAGTTTCAAAAACGGAGGGATATGGAGATTGAAGGCTAGGTTTGTGGCAGCTCCCAACCTACTTGGTGGTGGTGATGCCGATGATGGTGTTGAACGTTGCCGATAATAGCGATCAGACCGACGATTGGCGAACCTGAGACGTCTCGTTACTAAACATCCCATCTTACTTACCCCGTCATCATGATCCAATCCCTCAATCACCGAATCGATGAGATGGAGAACTATCCGAAGAGTTGTGACCACACAAGCAAAGTCATATCATGAAAGCGTCAGCCTGTTCCGTGTGCCACTTACCACACTTCTCACCACACCACTGCACTCCTGCCACCACTTTCTCTCGTACCTGCATATTGGTGAGATTCTCCAGCCGGGTGAACTTCCCCGAGTATCTCAACCTCTTATACGCGAGCTATAGCGAAAATGTTGCAACTCCATGATAGATGTCGGGTAGGCAGGCTGTTGATCGGCACTTGCCACAGCCAACACCACCAAACAGAACAATGCCGGACCACGTCCGTCCCGCTACTGCCGCGTCAGCCAGCCCTGCCTTTCTTTTTTCTCCGCCAGGAGGATGGTTGTATGCTGACAGGAGGAAGTCATCAATGGAACCTCCCGTGAATAGCTGCGCAACCACATACAGCCCCTGAAGACAGCATCCGAAGAACCTCATCCCCTGTTTTCCTTTGTCAACAAGAACATCACGTTATCACCTTCAGCCGCCCCTCCTGCTCCGCCAGACCTGCAAAGCCAACAAAGGCTCTTCGCATGAATTGCAGATCCGCCCACTTCCATGGATGTCAAAGAAGTAAGTCCGAGCAGTGCTTACAATCCTTCAACTTACACCCCTTACCTTGGCTGTTTACCCACTTGTGATTTATCCCGTACATACACATATGTACGTTACCTTCCTACGGAGCACGCTCACTCATACGAGTTTGACCCAGCTGTCCATCATCCAGACAGATAACTATCCACTTCCTATCCAGTCAGATCACCACGTATCACCCCCCAATAACTGCCGTCCATCCAATTGGCCCGGAGTCGTCTATAAATGCCCTGTCGTCCCCAGTCCCAATGGCCGGTCAGCATCATAGCAACTCGCACTACCGCGTAGACTACAACACAGAAAAGCGAAGAAACAACACAAAGACAGAAAAAAATACCCCCTTTCGGCTGCTGATACCACCCAACCCTCAAGATGTTTGGTCGTCCTTTTTCCCCCTCTAGATCCCGCCTTTTCAGTCTTGGCTAGGTAGATGGTAACCCTTGTCCGCCCTATCGCTTGTGTGGGTTGTTGGTATCTGATCGCCGGCAGACGGAAACCGAGCAGCAAGCCAACGACAGGAAAGTGTTGTTTCTTTGCTTTTTCTTCTTCTGCTGTCATCAGTCTTCAAGGGTCCTCCTTCCTGCCGTTTTGGCACAGACTTTCTTGTCTCTCCTTCTGCCGTAAGCCCGCATAATTAACAGTCTTGGGTCTTCTTGGTAAACAAAAAAGCTGTCGGTTAAAACTGGCGTCAACCCTTTTCTTCGTTCCTGCGCCGGCCGGGGCGGAGACAAAAAAGTGAACTAGCTTTCCCTTGTCTAGCGATTGAGAACCTTGCTGGGTTACTGGCCCAATGGGGTCAGAACCCAGCAGAATCCAGGGTCCTGGTTGGACACTACTGCTGTTCTGAAAAGGGTGGGGGGGGGGGGTTTCTCCTCTCCTCTCTCTCTCCACCACAAATGGAAAAAGCAGAAACGAATCGAAGCCAACAAGCTGCATGACTTGGCTCGTCCATTCGGGTGGATTTTGCTGCCATTTTCTTCTCTTTTTGGAGCAAAAATATCGCGAGAGAGGAGACCTATCTATCCCACGTTCCCTACCCTCGTGTAACTCGACCTGGCTAGTAGGGCGGTGCCGGCGTCGTTTGTGGAGCAAGACACCACGAGGGAAGCCAACAAAGACGCCAGCGAAGACCGCTCCGAGTCACCCTTCAACCACCCCATTGTCAGGGCTGTCCCTGTTTTGTTTGCCGATAGCACCTGTCAAGGGGTGTTTCATGCGGGCTACACAAAAAAAAAAGAAGGGCTGGCCCGGACCGCTGGGCTCAGCAAAGTGCCGCTGCTGCTGGTGAGACCATTCCCACGAGGTTGTAGAGTAGCGTATAAGGGGGCTGAACAGCATGTCAAACTTTCTGGCGGTATGTTTCGTCTGAATGCCCTAGGCTCCTCTTTTCGAACAAGGTTTGCTGTTGCTTTCGCACCGACAACAACAGACTCCTCTGTGATGAGACGGGACAGCCCCATCAAGACCTTTTGCGCTGCTCCTCAGTCACACCGCATCTCTTGTTATCAATGAATGCTGTGCCCTGCCGTTTTGAGTCCCGTGAGCAACAAGCAAGGCAAGGCAAGCAAATCACCACGACGCACTTGGGGGCCCCAGCACCAGGTCAAGTCAAGCCCCCGCTAAAAAGAAACGTTCCAAGCGCAGCAGTTGGCAGCAAGCAAAACCATCCAGGGTCGATCCTGCTGAGGTAATTCTTTTCTGCTATGCGGGAGCTTTGAGCTCTTTGGCGGAGTCCTCTGTGTATCCCTACCGGAAGCGCTGCCGGGGGGAGTTACTACCGGAAAGCTTGGGCTGGAGATGTCACTCTGAACCCCGCTTCGAGCCGAAGTCCTCTGGTTGTTGTTGTTGTTGGAGAGAGTACCTAGAAACAGACCACATCCTGCGGTCAGCAAAAAAAGCCTTCAAAAAAAGAAAAAAATGTCAAAAGATAGAGAAAAAGATAGCAAAGGATCCACCGGCCAAGACAAGGAACAGTCTTCCATCATGCAAACGTCGGGCTTGTCTCT